TGAAAGTGTGTGGGCGGAGCTTGGAAGGATGTGTGGAGAGAGAAATAGATACTATCCATCTGCCAGCAATTAACAGTCAGTTGTGGTCAGGCAGCCTTCTCATGAGAATCTCACGTAGCACTGTGAGAAGCATTTAAGAGTCAAAAGGAAAAGGAAGGAAGTAGAAGACTTAGAGGACAACTTGCGACTAGGGAGAGTCAGACCCTAATATGGTAGAGTATTCTAAGGGTGTGAGAGATAGAAGCTGACAGAAACCTGAGTGCAGAAGGGAAAGATTGAACTGAGTGAATGGAATAAAGACTGGTCAAAGTTCATTCAGAAGAGAAAGGTTTTGTAAATAAGGCGTTTTGTGAAGGGAAAGAGTGTGATACCTCAGTCAGGAGTTATTAATATAAACTGTTTTATTTAGTAAGGAAATAAGTTACAGAACATCTTGAAACCAATATGCTTCTTGTACAAATAAAGTTTATTTTGTCATAGGCTGTTTGAATATCATTATCGCATCCTCAGGACCACATAGTCCAATGTAGGAGCCTTAAAGCTTGGCTGCAACAATGTGGGAGAAGTGACTTAATAAGATTGGAATTAAATGCCTGGTTGCAGGGTTACATACCCAGAGAAATAGAGGTATATTTTTCATTGATTATATCATGCAATCATTGACTATAGCTAGGCAGAGAAAACTCCCCCTTCCTAGAAATCAGCATGTCTGCATCCTTGAAATGTAGCTGACACCAACCAGGCACCATTCCAGAGAAAGCTGGTTGACACTTGACAACAGCAGCTCAAACAAAGGGCAATTCACACAGGCCCACCCCATCCTCTGCCTTTTCTATGTAATTGCACCCCCTTCTTCCCCCTCTTCAGAGCATCTTCTTTGGAATGCAAGTGGAAAAGATCATGCCATTGTACTTTTTTGCTTCTATAACCTATTGGAAAATGTTAACTGAACTGTGTTATGTATAGCCCTTTAATGATCAATGTATAAAAGGGTCAACTGAGGACTGTTCAGGTGTGCCATCTGGAGCTATTTGTTGTTAGCCAATTGTTCTCAAGAATAAATCTTCTAAAAAGCAAACCTTCCTCTGTTGTTCATTTTGGGCATACACACACCAGTACATGAACCATTTGGTCAAAAGAAGGAAATATCAAGAAAGTTAAAGGCACACACCTCCAAACAAATTATAGCAGAGTACTTGTGACACAGAAGAAATTTAGTCTATAGACAACATCAAAGGCTTCAATTGTGCAGATCTTGAGAGGCTATGGATGGTCCTGAAAGAAATGGGGAAGCTTCAGTTTCCCATGAAGAATCATAGACAAGAAGCTACTCTTAGGACACAATATGGAGGAACAGAATGGTTTCCTCTAGACAAAGGCATGATACAAGGGTGTATTTTATTTGCCTGTCAGCTCATTCTGTCTGTACAACATATGAAAAAAGCTTGATTAGTATCAGAGGAAGGAGTGAAAATTGGGGGAAGACACATCAATAATTTAAGATGTGCAAAAGATATCACATTACTGGAAGAAAGCAACAATGAATTAAAATAACCTGGTGAAAGTGAAAGAAGTTCAAAAACAGGAGTGCCACTGAACATTAAGAAAAAAAATCATGACTTCAGAAGAATCTCAGGACTTTACTGTCAACAATGAAGACATTGAAATTGTGAAAGATTTTGCACACCTTGTCTAAGTCATCACTTCAAAGGGAGACTGCAGCCAAGAAATTAGAAGACTGAGACTTGAAAAGGCAGAAATGAAGAAACTAGAAAAGATATTGAAATGTAAGGCCATTTCACTAGAGACCAAAGCCACAATCACTCACACTATTGTATTCCTGTGTTACTTTTTCAATATATGAAAAGATATGAATTCTGTCAAATGCATTTTTTGGTCTGTGAATTACTCTGAAAACTTAGAAATGTATGGATTTCATTAGTAAGTTGTGCATGTTCTATCCAGAAAGTGTGAACTGAGTAAATCCTGATCAGAAATGAATTGAAAATAATGTCTTCTACACTCCTACTCATATCCTACAGAGAGCTCGAGCTATTTTCCAATTCATTTGCAAAGCAGTTCAATTTTCAAAGTCTGATTACAAATTGAATCATGTGTGTGTTCATTCATCCTTCGCTAACAAGTCTCATGAACAATTTATTCCAAAGAACTTTAAATACCAAGTAAGAATTTTAACTAATTTTCTCACAAAGTAAATTATTTTTCTCAAACATCAGAACTTGTATTTTTAAGAGAATAGAAGCTTTTGACAGATTTTATCATAGTAATTGCTACTAGAATCCTTTATAGAAAATTAGTTGGTTTCCCACACATACAACCAAAAGAGTTTTTAGTCTGTGGCTTCTTGCAGTTATGTTTTCTGCATGTTTCCCTTTCATTATACCCTCATTCTGATTTCCATTTCCCCTTTTTGGTTCAGGCCGCTTTTTACCTCAACTTTTAAAAAATATTATCTATACTGTGTTGCAGATTTGATCATTATGTGTTGCCCCTAGTGGTAGCCTAGCAAATGTGCCTGGAATTTCAAAATCAGGACACAATGGAGATAGAGACCTCCTTTTAATTTTCACTAATACCTGCTAATTAGAAGCAGATACTCCCAGCATGCTTAGGTTACATTTTTGGATGGTCTCTGATAGAAGTCTCCATTAGAAATATGGTTGGACCCTTTTGAATGCTGTTTCAGCTCATAGATGTCACATCTTGTGAAAATCAATCCTTTGCTATTCAGGTACTGTATGAAGAAAGTTTCTTTTTGTTTTCCCTTAACAGACTACTAATCAATTTCATTAGATGTCCCTGGACATGGACTTTATTCACTGATATTTTTAACATGTCTATATTTCTTCCTTTATCTCTTTGACCTCTATAGCAGAAATTCTTAGCCAAGGAAAGACTCATTGTCACCATATAGCTCTTTTATGTATGCATACAGAAAATATGGTTCTATTATATTCTTGATGAGACATGGTATCCAAATGGCACAGTTTTCCAAAGGTAGCTTCACAAATATTTGTACAGAAATATTATGGTGCTTGCTTTTTTAGTCACATGTTCTTTCTCAATAGTCAAAGACAATAAATATTTTCCTTCCTCAGCTACAGCATAATGGCCAGATTTTTTACTACACTTTCTTTCATCTCAAAGGCTTCTTTGCTGAACAATTCTAGACAGTGCAACCCCCACTGGCATATTTGTGAAATTAGAATTGATTTGTCTCAACTTTCATCACTTTGCAAGTGCCTTTCTTTATGCTGAATTAAATCTCTGTTTTGTGATCCATTCAGCCAGGATGCAGAAATTATTTTGCAATATTTTGTAGTCTGTTTAAGGAGTTATCTTGAACAAATTGGTGTCATCATAGATTTGGTTATTGTTCTTTCCTGACTCCATATAAATTATTTATGATAAATAAAAGAAACCCAGTCTACATCTTTGGGGAACCACCTGCTCACTTCTCAGAATGAAAACATTATTTGGTAAGCACTATGAACATGCTAATTTACACCATCAAGGAATTCTTAAAAAAATGGTTGAGGCAAGATTCTCATTGCAGATGCCATGCTGATTCTTCCTGAGCAAGTCTTGTTCTTCCATTCTGGTGCAGCACTAGCATGATTGTTGACATCCAATACCTGTATCTTCTACATTAGCTTCAGCTCAGACCCCTAACACAATGCAGATTCTTGGAGCAGTAATAAAAAGGGTGCTCAACAGTGCTGAAAAGCCATCCATCTTGACATATCTGGAGACTGAAGTTACTGGAGCAATTTTACTTGGGTGAAGCAAAGTACTGGCTATGCAGCATGAATTCTTGTATATCCACAGTTCACATCAGCTTTTATTCATGAGCTTTGCCATTAGCAAGATGGTACAGAGTTCTTGGATAGCCTGTGTCTGAGCAACTGCAATTTTATATAGCCAGGTCTTCTTTTGCTCAGATTACTCAGATTACTAATTCCACATGAAGGTGAAGGATATTTGGTCTCACAGAAAATGTTTCCTTTTATGATGAATAACCAAGTATAAATTGTTGCAGAATTCTTCCAGCAGTTCCAATTGTGCCTAACCTCCATGTGGGAGATTTTCTGGTTAGTTTGAAGAAAGGACAGCTAAAGCTCCAACTCTGGCCCAGTTACTTTGCAAGGTTTTTCCTCTTAGGCTCAGGTCAGTTTTAATTATAGAGATCTTACTCTCACTGTACCAGCTCACCAGTTCTGTATGTCTGGAGAATCTCTCCTGCCCTCTAGAGGAAGACAAGGTCAACCACTTTGTTGCCTGCCTTTCTGCTGCGTCATTTTCTCTTGTCCTGCATAGTTTGTACCATTTGCTAGGCATTATTAAGCTGTTCACAGTTACTTTTTGATATTGTTGCTGTAACATTTGTACTTTGATCTGTTTTGTACTTAGTTCTTTCTCAAGTGTCCTAAAAAGGTCAAAGGAAAATCAAGGATAGCAACCATAAAATGCATATCTTAACTTGGCTGAGGAAATGAAGACATTTTCATAACTCTCTTGCTCACCCCACTTCCCAGTCATGCACACACTGATATCACTTCCATTTTGAAATGAGTACATCCATAAACTATCCTAAGACTCCTGCCACAGCATTCCGGGGCTTTGAAAATCTCATGGCAAATTGAGATTCAAGACTGTAGTAACATTTTTGCAATAATCAAACCTCATACTTCAAATCAACTTGGTGAATATTTTTGTGAGTGAACCCAAGTTGCATAAACCATCTTTTATTAAAAATGAACATATGTTAATGCATATTAAAATGTGACATGTTATTGATATATATAAGGTTAGCTTTGAGAGGATTCAATTTGTTGTAGTTTCCATAACATAGAAATAATCATATAAATAATCTATCTCTACAGTTGACTTTGTCCTCAATGAGTTCAGGTTAGTGTGCAAATCAATGAGATCATGATTTGCACACTCTTAACAATAAATCTGTTGATTTTATCTTGCAGTGAGTGGACATCCGGCACTGAAAGCAGCTGATATTCGGAGAGCTGGAGCTTTAGTAGCTGCATCAATTCGTGAGAGGAAGAGGAAAGAGTGTGAGGCTGATAACTATTTAGTTGACAGTGACTAATCCTGCGGAACTAAATGGCACTATCAGATTTATCATAATTATACTGCTTTGCAATTTTAGGGTTTCCATATAAAAATCCCCAATATACAGTGGAAAGTGTTCCATGGTTAGAGAACCTGTTGAAAGCAGAACATAAGGAAACATTGTTTTTGAGTCAACCTTGGTCCACAGAATTTATATATGTTTGGAAACAATCATGGTAGGATTTAGAAACCTGCTTTGTAAAACATCCAGGATCATTTGGATCCACAGTAGACACTGTTATTTTGTCTTTGGCTTCCTATATGGTAATGTATGCTATCAAATAAATGTGTCCTTGCTTTGTGCATGAAATGTTACAGTACTATTTCTGCCATTTACTTTCAGCATTGTGTGTGTATGTGTTTTAATTTAAAAAATCACCATCCTTCCAATACATATCCTTATAACACAGTTAGTTCTGTGAATGTCTCTTCAAAAGCAAGCCCCAGTGAGCTTTCATGTGTATAGGATTTCAGTCTAAAGCTGTAAAAAGACAGTGTAAGGTCAGTAAAAAGAAGCCTTTACCTTTCAATAGTCAGTTTTCTATAAATAAATTGGCACTTGATCCTCATCAAAGAGCAAGAAATATTGGATATGCTCTCTGAATGTCCACTGTAGTATTTTGAGCCAACTACCTGATGGAAGTCATCACTTATATGTAAATGAACTGTCAATGGTTTGCCACTGTTGGCAATCACTGGACTGTGAAGGGTATGTCTTAATAAGAACCAAAGCTCTTCACAGACTTTGATTTACTGGAAATAAAATAGAAAAGTCCTCTGGGATTACGAAGGACACTTGTTTCAGATAAAATGTCTAGACAGTAGCAATATATCTGGGGCTTTTATTATAGCAAAACTGCAAATTAGAATGGAGCATGGAGAAAGTTCCTGTGACCTGACTGAGTTCAAAAACACTGTTTCTGACTGATCTTTTTCACCACTTAAATTCATATTAAGTTCACAAGCAACTTCCTCCAAATGCAAAATAATAAAGATAATTCTCTCCAAAGTTTCAAAGTCACCAATTAAGTTTATTATATTTTCTGGAGTTTGCCAAGCTTTTCAACATCTCATTAGCATTATTCCTGTTCAATATTATAACTGAAAATATCGTAACACAAAAAGTCCTGATACATTAAAAAAAACTTAAGAAGTTTAAGACTTTCGCCTTTCAAAATCTTGAAATCAAGTTGACCAGCTCCTATACTTTTCAACAAATAGTTACATCTGACAAAATAAAAAGAAATGGAAACCTACTGAATCAAATTCCATTTACACAGAAATGTATCTGCCTTAGCAAACCTCTTTAACTGAAAATGGAAAAAAGAAATCATGCTGCCAACGGTTAAATTATTAGCCAAGTTAAGTATTAGGAGTAAGACTGATCTTACTGTGATTAACAGACTCATCAAAAAAGAAAAAAGGGAACAAACCCATCCATTTAAAAATAGGATCTAGAATCAGATTAGGAATCAGTGTGCTATAATTTGGATAATTCTCAAAATATTTTTCTACATATTTATTCATTGAGTTCTCGTATTCTTGGGAAATATTTTTGGGAAAAATTGAAAATACTTTAGTGGAAATTCTCAGAATCATGCTAACCTTTTGAGAAACTGCATCCCTAGCTGCATTTCCCAGAATGTGTTGTAATCTCCTCTGCCACCATCCTACAATACATGCATGATGTTGTGGTTTCTGCAGTGTTGGAAGGTTTCCCTACATTTTCCTTGTTGGGTGGTCATATACATTAGCAATCTATGACTGTTTACACTGACTGAGAATGGTAACTATTATGTGTGAGGAACCTGTTTTGTGGTAGGAATCTGTCACATCCCCTTGGCTTGGCTCCCTGGACTCTGGCCTGCTTTCTTAAACCATGAGTACCACTCATGCAGGTGCCCAACAGGAAGTGAGCTCGCATGAACACTGTGCACGTGACATCTCTCTTCCGTGCACCTGACTTGTGGCCTTTGTGCCATACCAGCTGCAAACAGAGGTTGCTGGTAGAGATCTGTGAACATTCATGGACTTCTTGACTTGGTTTCCTAACCCAAGACTGAGCATGAGAGGCATCCCAATGAGCAGAAAAGAGCTGAATCCAAGGAGAATCATTCCAACCTTAATGGTAATCTCCCAAGCCAAACAAATTTATGGCTAGAGTTGCATTTTTAAAGGATGGCTTATCTTTCCTTTTTTTCTTCTCCCTTTGCTTTTCAGACTCCACAAATTAAATTCCAGTTTGAATGCTTGCATGAACTATTTTTCCAATCAGCCTTGCAGTTTTAATACTTACTTTTTTTCTATTTTCTTTTTGGCTGTATGGCACCTTGGGAGAGAGTAGAAGTGCGCGTGTGTGTGGGGGGGAGGGTAGCGGAGAGGGTCCACTCTGAATTGATCAAACTGTAGAGGTCTCCAGATATTGACACATACCACTGGCATCATTAACCTCTGCTAGTACTTCATCCCTCTGACCTAGTCTAGCAAATCTAGGAATCTGCGGCCTCAAATATCTTTGAACTTATCCTTGTTTTATATGCATTGGATGAAGAAGAATTTAGCAGTGCATGCCATTAACCTGGCTTTCATTGCTTATTGCCTGTTCTATATATGTCCAATGAAACGTTCCATTGACTTTTGGGCTTTTTTCACAAATAGGTTGCAACTTTAGTATTTTTATTATCATTTTACATTGTCCTCTCAGTACCATAGGACTTACAGAATTATTTTGAAAAAAAGGAAACAACAAATAGAGGGAAAATCTTCTCCATTGGCAGAAGAGCAGGTGGATAATTTCAGTTTTTCACAATAGGAACTATTTAAACACACACCTCCTACACAGGTGTGCAAGCAATTTAATACAAATATTTGTTTAAGCCAAAAATCCCCCCCTCCCACAAAAATCAGCCACCCTGTATTTGGAAAGTGCAAGCTTACTGCTACACCACAAAAAAGAAAAAGAAAAAAAGGGAAATGTTTTATGAAAAGCATTGCATGTTTGGATACTAATGCAAATAACTGTATTTTCAGTATGAATTAACTTCTAACACATTAAGAATGGAATATGTATCTCATAAACAAACAATGAGGAAATAGTGACAAAATGCTGAGTCAATGCACTCTGGGGGTGGAATATGGTGAACTCACAGCTCCACTCTATTGCAACAGGACCTGAGCATAATGAGGGAAGAATACAAGACCAAACAGATTATCTGCATTTTACCCATTTAAAAATAAGCAAATGTTCCCCATTTTCCTTAAAACAGCCTGCTTATCAATAGTCAACCTATATTCTTACTTGTATAACCCAAAGAGTACACAGACTGGATCTGGACAGAACAATTCTATACTCTTTTTTACATCAGGATGGAGAGATACACTCTTAAACTGGTGGAATGACTGCCATACCCTATATTAACATTGCCTGGGGTCAGAGTAAGCAAAGACTGCTTGGGAACTCCCCAAACATTGGGAAAATATCAAACATATCCACACAGCAGGAGGAAGGCACCTTTTCTTCCCTCTACTCAGGAACTGGATTTCAGAAAGGCAGTATGCAGTGCTCTGCTTGAGCAATAGGGACTGAGGCCTTCCTTGATTGCATTCTCTTCACCGAGAAGGCAGTATGGCCAACCCTGGCCATCAGGCTTCCCTGTAAAGGATCTGGGCAAGGCAGCCCCAAATCCTCATCTACAATGAATCCTTAACTAAGATAGGCATTTTTCTGTTTGAGTGAGAGTATAGCAACAGGGACAGATTAAACTTATTTTATACTATGGGCGAACAGTTCAGCTGTCTGTGCATTGTAAACCCGGAAATATATTGCCCTGCAGCACACATCCTGTCATTCAGTGGAAACTGAAGGCTCCAATGGCGGAGCTTTCCAGGAGCTCTCCATGGTGCTGAACCCATGCTTCAGTACCATAAGACTAAAAGTTGCCCCACTGACATGGGAGCCACCAGCTTGCACTGCTATCACCTAAGGTTTCTGAGTTTTCCTTTATATATCAGTGTATATATCATGTGGTTGGATTCTGAATTATACCACATTGTTTGCTCTGTTGCGGTGATGTGGGTGGGATGGTCATCAATGTGTGGGTTACTATGGAAGGTTGTTATTCCTTCCATTGGAGTCAACAGGAGACAATTCTCTGTGTCATTTCTACCTTCACTTGGGCCATGACCAGATTCTTTAACAGAATAGCATTTTGCATATTTCTGCTCTTTCTCTGTGCCCACTCCTCCCCAAGGGACCACTTATTTTAACAGTTCTGCTGGCTTTTCTTTGCATCTGGGCTGTTCCACTGCCATATCTTTTGTGCTGGCTGCATCTCTTGAGTTCTGCCATCATTGCATTGTTTCCACCAAATCCTATGCTCCTCAGATGGAGGATCTAAATTTAACTCCAGCAGCAAAAAATCTTGAACTCTTCATTTTGGAAAAATACAGAATTCTTCTGTGCTCCTTCTCAAAAGTTTGGAAGTTAGATAATATGATGAAGATTCTATGTTAGTTTAGAGTGGAGGAAACATAAGTGGACTTTTAGAATGACTGGAAGATTTATATGAGATTTTGGTATATGAAATATGGCAAGAGTTCATGTTTATTGCTTGATAAATGTTCTTCTGAATGGACATGGCAGGAATTTAATCAGTCTTCTGAGAGAAATGTTTGCTCATCTCCCATTTGCCAAGGCCAGGTTGACTGCTGTGATTTAGATTTGCTGCATACATGCATTTTATAAAAATCAATTAAAATTAAAATGTCTTAAATGAAGGTAAATGAAAAGATGAATCCAGATGGGCATATTTCTTTCCTTTATCTCTGGCATTGAACAGACCTGTAGCACTGAGGTGAATAGTGACTCGCAGAGCCAAATGGAGAAGTGCAAAATTCCTCCTGAACACCCTGCTCCCTGATGTCTCCTGCAGCCTGTGACTTTTGTAAGTCTCTAACATTTGAGTGGTGTTTACAAAA